GGGGGGGGGGGGGGGGGGGGGGGGGCGATGTATGCAGCATGAACCCTATGTTTAAAAGATAGAGTGATTGTTTCCAGATGACCCAATACATGGACCTTCTTAACAGCTAAGTATTTTCATAATTTTATGGTAAGCATTTATTTAGTTGATTTTTTTATTTTAATTTGCTCAAGTGAAAAAATGTATGCATTGTTATATGGAACATAAGGTTCATAGTAGAAGCACTCAAAGTTGAGCACTTCTAGACCCCAATACTCTTGTCCTCGCATTTTCTTTTCTTTCTAGTTTTTTTTCTTTTCCTCTCTAACAAAACAAGAAGAATTCTTTTTCATTTTCTTTTCGTTTCCCTTTCAAAATCTTTAAACCAAACATAGTGTAAAGGATGAGATTTTTTTTGAATAACATGTTTTAGTATCAGATATCTGGTACTTCCTCTTGTCTCGTAATTTTATTCTTGTTTTCCTATTTGGTTGTCCCAAAGGTTTGTTCCACTTTCTTTACTCATGGAAAGTTTTTGTGGCTCATATTATTTTCCTTTTAAGCAAATTTCAACCATAAAATTTCCACTTCATTAAATATGAGTCATTTCAAACCAAAAACAGAACTATGGGACAAAGGGAGTACTTTATTACTCCGTCCCACAAAGAACTTCAAACTTTCCTTAGTTGAATATCCAAAAAAGAACTTCACACTTCTACTTTTTTTTCTTCAAAGGTAAGGATTATGTGGCCAAGAAAACATCTCTTTTAAACATATTCCATTCACAAACTTTTCACTTTCAACACTTTTCTTGAACTCTAAAGTCAAAAATGAAGCTTTTTGTGGGACAGGGATAGTATTCAACAGCACGTGCCAGTGTGTGCATGTTGTGTAAATAGAAAATATGGTAAAAGAAAAAGGGAACACACCGCATCACGTCTTATTCTAGACCCGCGTCTTGTTGTTTTGACTTCCTTAACCCAACCTGGTGGTATCCCGTCCACAAGATTGCCTTCAACCGAGACCTATGGATGTAATTTTCAAATAAGAAATTATGATAATTAGAAAAAAAATTCATGTCAATACTTCCAAAAACTTGAGATTCGACGAGAATACTCCAAAATTACAAAATATCTCACGTCAGAAATTTAACACTTTTACCATAATACTCCAAAATCGCATAAGAATCACGAATTAACCTAAAAAATCGGGGAACCATGAAAAATAAAAATTCTTTTGGAGTATTGTTGTAAAAATACTCAATTTCTGACAGCACATGTAATAAGAGTATTCTGGTAAAATCTCATATTAATTGGAGCATTGACATGAATTTTTCCTTATTATTTTTGAATAGAATAGCAAATATAAACTCATTCAAAGGCATCTTACAGAAGAAACAATATTGGATGGTTGCTTGCCCCTGCCATCAGTTATCTTCTTTATAGAGGCCTCCTCACCCTCACTGTTAGTAGGTTTCTCATTTTGAGACACACCATCACCAGACGATTCTTTTATCTCATGCTAAAACATGTTATTAAATAAATAATTATAATAATTGTTATAATAAACATATTTTAATGCATAAATAAAAGTGTAAATTTCACAAATGGTGATATTCTATATTTAGTACACTATTTTAAGAATTTTCATTGGAAGGTCCCTTTAGTTGCGAACATTTCTGATTTTAGTCTTCTCATCAAAGGTCCTCAAAATTATACGGAGTACAATAACAAAAGACTAAAAGTAGCATTGTTCCACATTTTTAAGGACCTTAGTTGGTATTCAATGCCATAGAAGACTAAAACCGAAATATTCACAATTAATGTGGACCTCTATGAAATTTTGTTAACTAGTAGACTGTATGTTGAATAAACTTGACTATAGAGGATCATTTATGAAACTTACTCTAAATAAAATCATCCACCAAAAAGTTTTGAGAGATGATTTGATTATGTAAGCTATTTTTGTGGGACCCTTAACTTTATATTCAGATGCATGCTTAGCAAACTTATAATCAAAGATTCGGCCATTCAGAAAATAGAAGACTCGCAGATTGGTTGTTGGTTCGAGACACGAAGTTCCTAATTTTCAGATTTATGACACACTTTTCAGTATCGCCTGTTTGTACATAACGCATCACATCCCTTTTGGGTTGAAAAACAGATCCGCTCACTGGTTTACATAATGCTGTTAAATCAAGACTTTCATTAATTTTTAGGAAAATCCTTACCAGATGATGAAGATGAAGAAGAGGAAGATGATGATAACTCTTAAGTTGGTGTAATATATAGCCAGATGTACTAATGTTTATTGGGCATCCGTCATATGCACATTTACGAGTTACACAATGCTCATTTCGTACATTTTATTTGCACGTCGTAGCATTGATGTAGGCACATTTGATAATTACATAATGTTCATCTCATTTTTCCAGGAATCGTTCATTTTCTTTGCTTGTCCGTAAATGCAGCAGGAACAACGGCACTCAACACCCACCCCGACTAAAGTTTTTTTTAAATTATTCCTATGACAATATAAATGATTTCTCACGCAATCGCCATATAACAACGGATTTGAAGATGGAGGACAAGAATTTGGGATGAGACTTGGCTAGGTTTTGTTGCATAGAATTTCCTATTTTTTATAGTTTTAAGGCTTAGGTTTTATATTGGGTTTAAGAAAAAGAACTATATACTCCCATCCAAAATGAGGTTCTCATGTGACTTTTTATGGTCTCCAGTGTGACACTTAGACCTTAATATCTAATTATCTATATTTATGTGTAAATAAATTTTATAAAAATATGACATTTCAAAATTACATTTCAAGACAAGTCAAATGATATTAAATTTACATTACTACTCCATTTTTTCTTTTCAAATTTTATGGTCAAAGTTTTCAATTCTGACCCCAAAAAGTCAAATATGAACCTTTTTTGGGACGGAGGGAGTATATTAAAATTTTAAGGGTGGAGGGTATACAAACTTTATATACTTTCCTTACTGCATCATCCCTCACCTCCACATCAGCACCACATCAAATTTCACTAATTCTAATTTCATATTTTTCTTACTACAAGTGGAGGTGTACATACGCCAATTCGCCAACTTACTACAACTATTTTAAATAAAGAACCATTTTTAAACTCATAATACTAATTAATTTTTAAAAAATACAAATTATAAATATCTAATTAAAACGGTAACATCACGATAAGTAGCAAGGTTACGACGATTCATCATAGATTTGTTATCATCTTCAGAACTTGAAGAACTTGATGAACTTGACGGTAGTTGAAAAAGATCCATTTATTTTTTTAGAGAGTAAGGTTTTAAAAAATAGGGGTGATTTAAATAATTAAATGGGTTTAAAAACTTGTAATGATTAATTGTAAATGGTAATATTACTGTTAAATGAAGGGAGAGTCGTCCAGTATCATTAGAAAGACCGTAAACTGCTTTACTGATTGTTTTTGGTACCAAATGGTAAGGAGTGGTGTTACCCTCTTTGTCGAAATGCCACATCACCTTATTTTGGTACCAAATTGGTTTTACCATGTCCGTACCGTGGACCCTAAGAGTGTTTATATATGGAATAATAATGAAATCTTGGAGTATTCTTGTAAAATCTAGAATTTATGGGAGTATTGACAAGAATCTTTCCTTATTATTATCATTCAACCAAATAGACATATAATTAATTCCCGTGCCAATAGATATTTGCTTTATGGAGGCCTCTTCGCCCTGAGTGTTGGTAGGTTTCTCATTTTGAGACACTTCATTGCCAGATATCTCATGCTTAAACATGTTATTATAAGAATATTTATGATAATTATTATAAATTATAATAAACATATTTTACTGAATAAATGAAAGAGTTTATTTCCCAAATGGTGATATTCTATATTTAGTACACGGTTTTGAGAATTTTTATTGGAAAGCCCCTTTAATTGCGAGCATTGCCAGTTTTAGTCTTTTTCTCATCAAATGTCCTCAAAATGATACAAAAAAAAAAACTAAAAGTAGCATTGATCCACATTTTTATGAACCTTAGTTGGTATTTAATGGCAAAGAAGACTAAAACCGAAATATTCAAAATTAAGTGGACCTCTAATGAATTTAAGTAGTGGACTGTATATAGAATCCACTTGATTATCGAAGATCACTAATGAAATTTACTGTAAATAAAATTATCCACCAAAAAGTTTGAGAGGCGGTTCGATTACACAAGCTATTTTTGTGAGACCCTCAACATTATATCCAGATGCATGCTTAGAAAAATTATAGTTATAGTAATAAATGATTTGGCCATTCAGAAAATAGAATACTCACAGATTGGTCATTAGTTCCAGACATGGAGTCCCTTTTCTTGGGCCTTACTGCACACTTTTCGATATCGCCTGTTTGGACATAGCGCATCACATCCTTTTTGGATCGAAAAACATATCCGCTAACAGGGTCTACATAATGCTGTTAAATCAAGACTTTCATCAATTTTTAATAAAATGCTAACCATATGATGAAGAAAAAGAGTAAGATGATGAATAACACTAGATTCCATGTATCATATAGCAGAATGTACAAATGCTTATTGTGCATCCGATATATGCATATTTACGAGTTACACAATGCTCATTTCGTACATTCTATTTGCACATCATAGGATTGATGTATGCATGTTTGATAATTATATAATGTTCATCTCATTTTTGCGAGGAATCATACATCTTTGCTAGTCCCCAAATGCAGCAAGAACGGCGGTACTCAACTCTCACTACGATTGAAGTTTTTTTTTTTAATTTCTATGACAATAGTCTGAATTCTCAAGCAATAACTATATAACGGATTTGAAGAGAATTATGGAGGAGAGGAATTTGGGGTTATACTAGACTAGGTTTTGCTGTTCATAGAATTTCCAGTTTTTAATAGTTTTAAGGCTTAGGTTTCATATTGGATTTAGGCCATATAAGGTTCTCATCACACTTTTCAGGGTCTCCAATGTGACATTTTGACTATCAATATCTATATTTATACGTAAACAAATTTATAAAAATATGATAAATCAAAATTAGATTTCAAGACAAATCAAGTGATATTAAATTTACATTATTATTCCAGAACCCCTTTTCAAATTTTGTGGTCAAAGTTTCTAAGTTCTGACTCCAGAAAGTCAAATGAGAACTTTTTTTTGGGAAGGGGGGGATGTAATAGTTCTAAAAGTCTTTAGTCTGTACTCTTAAGAAATTATGAAGCTGTAAGTTAATATTCAAATAAATAATAGTTCACCCATCCCAAAAAGGCTCATTTTGACTAAACACGATGTTTAAGAAGAGTGATGCAGTTGGAATTGATTTGAAAGAAAGGGAAAAAACGATGGCCACATACTCCTTAGTCCTTACCAGAAAAGGAAATAGACTTTTATTTTGGAACATGCCAAAAGAAAAGTTTGTTCTTGTTTTGAGATGGATGGAGTAATAGTAATTTATTGTTCAACAGCATAAGTGTGTGTGTGTGTTGTGTTGTGTAAATAGAAAGTGTGGTAAAAGAAAATGGGAACATACAGAGTAACGCCGTATTCCATAAGCGTGTACTCTTGTTTTGATTTCCGTAACCCACCCGGGTGGTATCTCACCCACTAAATTGCCTTCAACCGAAACCTATAGATGTAACTTTACAAATAAGAAAATATTATTACTATTGCACTAAACAGCTATACAAGAATTTTTTTAGGCATCTTACAGAAGAAACAACATTGGAAGGTTGCTTGCCCGTGCCATCAGATATCTGCTTTACAGAGGCATCCTCACCTTCAGATATCTTCTTTATGGAGCCCTCCTCATCCTCAGTGTTGGTAGATTTCTCATTTTGAGACACTTCATTATCAGACGATTCTTGTATCTTATGCTAAAACAGGTTATTAAGCAACAATATTAATAATTCTGATGATGATGATAATAATAATAATAATAATAATAACAAAATAATTATACCGAACTAAGAATATCAAGTCATATTTCTAGATGATGAATTGTGGTCATTTAGTTCCCATGCTGTTTACTCCACTGCTGAATTGGCTAATAATAAAACAAGTACAAAAGCAAGGTACTTTTTTGGATGAAATTGTCGAAGATGATCATTTTCATCTTTTTTCACATGTATTTTTCTTTATCTTATCAATAAACACTCCATCATTTGTGAAATAAACTTTGTGGTTTGACTCAAGGATAAGAAAAGTGTTGAAAAGAAAAAAGGTGTAGGGTTGGAATTTGTTACTTCAAGGTTTGATCGTTAAAGAAAAGTGTTGTAAAGAAAAAATTGTATGTTTGGAATCTGTTAAGAGGTGAAAGAAAGATTGTGCGCCGGATATTATATACCTATTATATGCTTGAATGGGAAAAAGGACAAGTGTGAAGTTTTATTTTGGGATGGATGAAAGAGGAAAGAGTGAAGTTTTTTTTGGGACGAGGTAGTATATGATAGGTATTTTTTTCATAATCCAGCAAATTCATCAAAATACTAACCTTAGTTTTAGCAACTTCAACCATTTAAGCATAATTTGCTACTAACAAACAGCCTCGAAAAACGCCTTCTTAAAGATGACCTTCACTTTGTTATTTTCCTTACGATTTACATATGAATTTTTGAGGAAAAAATCATCTCTGGATATCACTATTTTGTCCCTTTATTCCATTTTTTGTGTGATTTATGTGGCTCAGATACATTCCAAATTTAAAGTCAACCATGCAATTAAACTTTTACTAAAGTTGTGTGACACTCTCCCATGTCCCAAAATATTAGAAGGGATGGAGTATCTATCGAATCATAATCGCATGAAACATGGAAATTCTAGTTAATATTTGTGTTTATGAAACTGACCGTTGTCAAAGGAAAGTAAAAATTGTCCCAACACTTAGTCGAAGTAAGTGTAAAATATTAAGAAAATGGTTTTTGTCCACCAAAAGCTATACACCAATTTGTATACACCGCACACATACATAAAAAAATTTGATCTAACATACACATTTTGTACGTGCACGCACATTTGTGTGAAGAACAAAAATGGTTAACTACGTGTTGCGCAGGGCTAGCCCACCAAAAATATAGGGCTCCAAAATTTATTTTTATGATTTTTAATTTTAATTTAAACGTAGTTTCTATAAATTTTATGTTGAAATAAATTATGCCAACACTTCCAGAAATATGTCATACTGTTATATACATGCTTTTAGATTTCAAAATTACCAATTTTACTTTGCCAACTTATTTCTAGTTTGAAATTTTTTTGTTTTTGTCAAGACAAGCAAAATAAGACTAAAGTGAATTGGTTAAAACAAGCAGAATAAGACGAGCAAAGAATTCATTTCTATGTTAATACGATTAACATCCCCATCTAGCTTTATTGGTGTCCTCTTATCGCATCTTAATGCTTGAGCTTTTGGTTGAGTTGTGACAATCCGCAAAGGGACCCAAAATAACATGGACCGACATTAGTCTGCCGTATAAGTTGGGGTACAACTTGAGAGTAAGCACACTTAGCAAAATAAGTAATCAATGATTACGTCATTCAGCGAAGAGCAAACTCACAGATTCGTTATCAGTTTCCAACAAAGAGTCCCTTCTCTTGGGCCTTTTTAAGCACTTTAGAATATCACCTGTTTGTACATAGCGCACCGCGTCCGGTTTGGAAAAAAATACATACCCACTGACTGGATCTATATAATGCTGTTCAACCAACACAAATCAGATCCATACACATAATTAAAAAACCCAATGCTTAGAGAAGGATTAAATTGCAAGTGAATAGATTTTTCTAATGCATTATGTCCTAGTCATGTATATACCCTCTCTTTCCCAAAATGTTTTACTCGTTTGGCATTTAAGAAGTTCAGGAAAAGTTTCGAAAAATAAAAAGTTTATACTTAGCATTCATTGAGAAAACCTATGAGTCACATGCTCATTACTAAAAAAAGGGAAACAAAATAAGTGAGAAGTGGTTTTGGGACTTCCAAAAAGGGAAAAGTAGTAGAGTGTTTTGGGACGGAGGGAGGATGATTCAAATCATTTATTACGACCAGTGTCAAAACTAGAAACATGCATATTTCTAAACTAAGAAAACATCAAATTCATGTTAATAGTTTTCAAAAAAATTCAAAAACCGAAAACACAAACAATGACTTTTCCTTTTCTCCTTAGGAGTTCTTTTCGTCTCACTTTTGTTCAAATTTTAGTTCAAGACTTTTCAATTCAAATTACCACTAACTTCTAGTTCATTTTAATTGAGTACACATTAGTATAGTAAATTTCATTAAAAAAAGAACGGAATCGTGACCCAGACCTGCCTATTTCCACTTAGATTCTGCTGTGATTGATCACCAACTAGATGTCAATCCGATGCCCCAAGCATTTTATAAACATTGGTACAAATGCATTCTTTTGAAGTGACGAACGAAAAAGGGAGTGAATTTTTTTCAAAACAAATATGGGGAGAAAATTCCAAAACAAAAATAAAAACATTTTTCTACATTAAAAGCAAAGAAATGACTGAATGCATGCAATAATTACCAAAGAAAATGAAAACAAAAGACTTACCCACACCCCCAAAACAGCCAAATCAATCCAAAGTTAAAAAAAAAATTCTCTTCAATTTCTCTCAACTTAAAAAAGTTTCATTTGAGTAATTGTTAAAGCTACCAATCAATCACTTCTAATCATAAGCTTTGAGAGGTTGAATCTTCGAATTATATCCACAAAGGGTCAGTTAAAAATCACTAGAAATGAGCAAAAGGGGTGTGATTACCTTGACATTTCTACCCTTTATAACTTTTACATACTCGGACCAGCCGGAAGGAAGAGTCTCCGGCGACTTCCCGGCTACCATCTTTGCCGGAACTTCTAGATTCAGCCGAGAAAAGCGGTCAGACGGTTGAGCTGGGACATGGGTCAAAGGCTAAAAAGGATAAGATTAGAATACAGAAATTTCACTCGTTCGCTGGCACTAATTGTTATAAACTTATAATCAACCCTGCAGTTTGGCCCAATTACATCTTTAACCTTGATTAAAAAAACATTTTTATTACACCCTTTTAAGTACAAAGTACTCGTATTTCTTTTACTTTAAATTTACTTTATAGTTTGACTTTTTGTAAAAAATAGAATTTTCTTTTGTACTCCGTAGCTCTCTTAAAAGTGAAAAAAAAAGAATGTCAACCGTAAAACGTTTTACTCTAAAAATAAATCAAAAAAAATTCATAAGAAATCTCAAAAAAAAAGGGAAAAAAATTAGAATGATAGTAAATAAAGAAATAGAATGCCACACCGCATGGCCTAACAACTTGAAGTGCATTCACAAGGAAAATGTGAGATAAACGAATGAATGAGCCCAAAAATATATGGTAATTTTTCTCAAGACACGTGATGAGTTATGAAGTGATCATTTATAACTTGTTTTCATATAAAATGATGCTCCAGTCAATTCTACATTTAGAAATATGATAACTTTTTTGAAGACACGAGATGAGTTATAAAGTGACCATTTATAACTTATTTTCATACAAAATGATACTCCAGGCAATTATAAAAAATGGATGAGCTGCATCGCGGGAGCCCCCTCAGACCTGGCCTGACAGTCACTGAGAGGAATTAAATCGGATTTTGATGAATCGAACTCAAGTCTTATCCCTTTGGCACTCCATAACTTTGCGAACTATGCAATACCCACAGACATGCTCCAGTCAATTCTACATTTTATACGATCGTGACAATCTTGATTCTTGATTATTAAGTAATAAATTCATTATCAGTATACAAAGGTAGAATCTAAAGCTCAAGAGCCTGAGGTTTTTCTTCTGTCTTAATTTAATTGTCTGTTGTGATTTATGATATTTGAGTAAATTATTTTCAACTCAATTTATTTCAAAATTGGTACAAAATTTAAAAATAAAAATTATATAGTGTATTTAAAAAACTATACACTACATTCAAACTACACATTAATTTGGCCTTATAGAAGAATGAAATTTATCCTTAATCGTAACAAAAAGATTTTTATGCAAAATATTAAATGATCACACTACATTCATTTGGAGTCAAACTCAGACAAGACCATTTTGTATCCACTATTCAGTATTCACCACTTGAACTCTTCACAGCCGGCCTAGAAAATTGAAGAAACGTATATTGGAACATCTCTCATTCTTGCCATGAAAGGAGTTTTTATGGTGCACCTAAGCTCCACAAAAATTTCACATAAAAATTTATTTTCTTCTTTAAAAAATAAAAAATACTCATCTTAACCCTAAAAATTTACCTACCACAGGTATTTAGTACCAAAAGATACACTTATGTTAAAACAATAATGCATATGCATTCACTACATCACACATTGTGTTCATTTAACACTGTTTAACTTTGACATTTTCATAAACCTATCTAATACGGAGTAACATTAAACTTAACGTTTTCATCATTAAAAAATACAGAGCAATTCAAAATCCAAACACTAATTATAATCACTTGCCCAAACAGTGGCATTGATACTTATCTGTTGGTTTTAAGTCCACAATCGAATACAATTATGAAAATCTCATTTCAGAGTACAAGTATTGCTTTGACATTTTCATAAGGCTATCTAATGACAACGGTAAACTTTAACATTTTCATCATTAAAAAAATACTTACAAAATGCTAACAGTAATTATATCACTTGCCCAGAAAGTGGCATTGTCACACTAATGGTCTAATTGTAAAATCAAATGAATGTTGAACAAACATGGATGACTTTGGGACAATAGAAGTCAGAGATAGAACAAAAGGAAAAGAGGCTTTTGCACCCTAGTACTATACTACTGTACTATTAAAAAAAAATTGATGCTAATTAACTTAGGAATATTTCCATCTGAAAATGCTAGCACTAGTCTACAATCTACAATCTATCTCTTTGTATTAGCATTATATGTAACCTGCTCGAGAACGAACCCGTTACATCGTGGTTGGTTTTTGAAAGAAGAAGAAATGATGAAGAAGAAGAAGAAACTTGAGTAAACTAAAACTAAACAAGCTTTCGAGTATTTGAAGCTTAATGAGGGTTGAAATGTTTTATTTTGAAAATGCGAGTGATATAGCGTTTGGGTTTCACTTGTTTTTCTTCTTTTTCTTGACTCCGACGGGAGGGGGAGAATCTTTGTAGGCTGCTTGGCACGCGTAAATGACCGCACAAACATGTGGATCTTCTTTCGGGATTTCACTCAAAATTTCTTCTGCAAAGTCTTGTAAGCCCAATGCCAAAACGGCTTGGTACAGCCTGCATGACAATTACATTTTTAGACAACAATCCTTTCAGTTGCAAAACCATATTTTGATCCCTCGCATGCTTGACTATGGCTTCATGAAAAATACACATTGTTTCCATACACAATATAAAACAAGTATTTGGGGAGGGGGGAAATATTTTCCCGAGTAGGGTTGTGTTTGGTTTGGTGGAAAATATTTTTCTATAAATATATTTTCCAATCATATTTTTTGTTGTTTGGTAAGAAGGAAGATGTTTTCTTAAAAAAAATAGTTTTTATTGTTAATATTTGAAAATTGTTTTTTTTTTAAAAACATGTTTTGAAACGATTTAACAATATTTTAGCACCATAAGGGGCGGTGCAGGATGGATAGGG